GAGCCACGTGCGAAAGCGACGAGATATGAACGCCTATTGAGGCAACCAGGAAGCAAGCAAGCTGGAGATGCCTACAACCCGGGTAGAAGTCGCCAACTGTGCCCAAGAAAAGCTAGCTAGGTACGTATGCAAAAGGCTATCGTAAGGAGGGTCCACACGGTTGTCCTCCGGTCCTAAGGTCACTAACGACCCCGGTACAAGTGCTGGCAGGCGCAAGTGCGTGGCCTGGCACAGGGATACCTGAAACCCCGTACGCCTCGAAAGCGCAATAGGGTGCTACACGATACTAGATACTAGACTAAAAGCGCTCACGGGCACAACTGTGCAAAGTCACCGTGGCAGCAGTGTCGGCGGGCACAGTCAAGAGTTTAGGAAAGTGGAGGGTGTCGCGGCGACTAGGCGCGTAGACTCGGGTCGACGTTCAGCGACGACCCCGTAGGCGAGCGGCAAGGAGCCGAAAGGGGAAGGAGAGAGGGAGAGGGATAAACGTGACAGAAAACTCGACGAGGGCAGAGCGGGGGTCGGCACGAAGGCACGAGACCTACGAAAGCTAGTCTTCACGCAGACAGCGACAGACTAGTCCCAATGACCAAGTTATGCATTAGCAATCAAAGGGAGATACAACGCTATGGTCACTCACCTAGTCCCAATGACCAAGAGGTCGAGATGGGGACTAGGGAGCGCCTAAGGGGGTCCTTATATACTCGAGGGGCTGCTTAGCAACCAAAGACAAGGCGCGAGAGCGAGGCAGTGAAGATGACAAAGAAAGAACAAAGGGCGAGAAAGAAGAGGCAAGAGCATGGTGATCACGGGAACGGAGCATGTGGCAGTGGGAACGTATCTACAGTGTCCAAATTGGGATGGGCTAAGAAAGGAAATGGTCCGAAAATGGAAGGTGGGCGTCAAGGGGAGGGGAATGGGCGGCAAAAAGGGGCGTCTGTCCAGCGTCCGTGACAGAGGGGATGCACGGGCAGAACCGAGTGTCGACAGAGAGGGATGATGGGTGCGCGCAGTGATAAACGTCAACACGAAACTTTTGGTCAGAGCGCAGGGCTCATAACCTGATAAACTCGGGGCTGTGAAGACAAAGATTAGATCCGACTAGAGTCGAAGCAAGATCTTCAGTCAGTAAGGAAAGACTATATTGCAGTAACCAACTGTACCTAGAGTCGAAGCAAGACTACAAAGGTTAAGTAAGTAACTACAAGTTAGAGGTAAAGGTAACGAAGTACTCACTCTTCAGTCAGTAAGGAAAGACTGAAGAGGGAGGACGCAATCTGAAGTCCTTATATACTACAGAGAAGTGTCCATGACTAATCGAAGAGTGGTTAGTCACATGTACCATAGTGCGATGAATAATAC